GGTTTGGGCTGACAGATGAGCACACTTGCCCGTGGTTTGCTGTGCTGCATCTGCTTCAGGCTGCCTACCCTAGAGTGTGCTGTTCCCTTTCAGAAGATGCTCCTCCTGCAGCACAGCATCAGGCAGTACCTGGGCTGGGGCTCAGATCCGGTGCCCACCTCAACCCTTTCCTCTTTCTGGTGTTTTATTGACTTTAATTCATTACTTTCCACATGGATAAGTGGCTTTTTGGTGGCTATTTCTTGCCAAGTGCTGCTGCTGGCTGCCTTGTCTCATCCACAGAGCAGATGGTGAAGAATCCTCCTGCAGATTGCCCTGCAGGCAGCCTGCTGAGAGGCAGCTGCTGGCTGCTGTGCCCTTGGGCAGTGTTTGGGCATTGTGATGTGCTCTCAGTCCACAGACAGGTGTCTGTCAGGAACCTGTCCCCACTCAGATCACTCAGCCCATGTGTGTGTGTGGCAGGGGCATGGCTCTGGCTGGAGGATGGATGGGTTTCATGAGAGCTTGAAGCCCTCCTTGCTGAGGATACACAGGGAGGACATGGTGAGGAGCAGCACAGCAGCTCTTCTGTCCAAGGGGTGTCTTGAAGCACTGTTGGTCATCTCCAGGGATGGAACCAGGAGAAAGCAGACTGACAAGGACACGGCACAGCAGCCTGAAGGGGCTGGGCTGGTTCTGAGGGGGCTCTGGGACTTAATGCCTGAGCAAAGTTTGGTGGCCTCAGTCTAAAGAAAAATGAAACCCCTGCCTGCAGAAAGAAAGCTGTCCTGACTTCTGAGCAAAGGAAAGCTCTTTAACTCCTTGCTCTTGAAGTCCTGGTTGGCTTCTCAGCTGCCTCTGCATCTCTGTGAGCAGCCACATCACGCGTGTACCAGGTGCTATTTCTGGCGGCGGTGCAGGCTGTGCTGCAGCTGCAAACCCCAGCATGGCCACACTGGTCCATCCTGCTCACAGCACTGCAATCCCACCACAGGACACCTCCTCCCTGCCCCAATTCCCCTCCAGCCAGGGCTCTGTGTGCCCATCCTGTGTTTAACCTGCTCCCATGGGGCAGAGCTGACAACAGGAGTCCTGCTGGAAATGCTGAGGCAGCTCCTTCAAAGGTCACCCGGGCATTATTCACACAGGAAAAGCTCAGATGTGCACACAGCTGTGGCTGTGAGAAGAGGGGAAGTGTGCACSGAGCTGTGACCGCTCTGACAGGGGCTCAGAAAACCAAAGCCTGGGGTTGGCAGCCTGGCTTGGGCACTCTGTGGCACAGGGACCTCACCCCCAGCACTGGTGCCATGAATGCAAGCAGCTGATAGAGAGAAAAACCAGGGCAGTGAGGATATTCAGCCACCAGAGTCGAGCAAGCAGCTCTGCCCCTTCWCTGCTCTGAGGAAAGCAGTGCTTGGCTGGAAGCATCTGGATGTGCAAGTTTGGGTTCCAGCTAATCCAGCACTGGTGTCAAAAAAATCAACAAATCAAAGCATATCCCTGGCTGTCCTGCCATCCTCTGTCAGTGGAAATGGGCCCTGCTGAGGGACATGGCAGTGTCTGCAGTTAAATGGCTAAAGTGGGTGAGATGAGACCTCTCACCTTCAGTCCTACCAGCTTTTCTTGGACAAACTTTGAAAATAAAGGGAATATTTTAATCTTCAAGGAGYAGTGATAATTTAAAATCATATCAATGTGTACCAACCAGAGATAGGAGCTAATTCAGATCCTTGAGTCACTGTCACATGAAATGCCCCTGGCCATGAAGAAATGGTTTAGAAGCAACCTTTGCACCGAGTCTGCACAGGATTGCCCTGCAAGGCAGGCTTGTCATCACTGCCAGCTGGTGAAGTTGTGCCAAGGTTAATGTCCCCACAGCACACACCTCTGGAGAAGAGTGGGTTCCTTCAATCAGGACTCAATTCTCTGAATTCTTTTGGTGGAAGGTCGGGTATTTCTTTATACTGATTTCTGATTTCTTTTCTAGTGGCAGCATATCTCTGCAGCTTCCTAGTCTCATCTGCACAGCTCGCTGGCCTCTCTGAGTCCCCAGAGATTAAAAAGAGCAGGATAGATCATGAGGAAGAGCTGGTGGCAAAATTTTAACAGCACAGAGCTGCTGTAGCTTCTGGGTCTACTAACCTGCCAGCCACAGCAGCTTCCCAGCACTGATCATCTCTGGTGTRCTCAATCCTCAGTGTTAACCAGACGTGAGTCATGCTTTAAATAATGCTGAGCTGTGGTTTAAAACCCATGTTTGTTTCCTTAGAGCATAAATGCTGGTGTCCTTTATGTACACTCTGGTATTTCAGTTTTCCTCRCTAAGATGAATGGAAACTTCTCCTTTCACACCTCTTTCTCACGTGGCCGTGCCCTTTCAGGACCAAAGGTTAACAGGAAATGAATCATCAGCTGCCAAAAGTTCACGAGGGCACTGGGGGCACCTGCAGTGCTCTGCTGAAGCTGCTCACAGGGCGATGCTCCYCGACTTTCCTAGAAATTGTGACTTTAGTTGTCCCCCACTGCCAGCTCTTCAGCCTCTCCCCAGCACATGCTGGGATGTTAATGCCTGCTCTGTGCTGGGGGCTGGAGCTGTGCAAAGCTCCTGCCTGTGGCTGGTGCAGGGAAATACAGCTCTGTGACCGTGGAGCTGCTCCGGGCAGGAGCTCAGGGTGTGCCAGCACAGCGTGAAGGTGAAGGTGCGGCTGGGAGGGCTCAGTGGGGCTGTCCATGGGCTCTTCCAGCTGTTTTGGGTGGGCTGTGGTCACTGAGCCGTGTGTGTGGGATGGATGCTGAGGCACAGCTGCTGTCAGAAGCTCCTGCAGGAGCACTGTGTGTGCTGCTCTCTGCTGAGGCTGCAGGAGCTCTCTGAGAGATGCTCTCTGCCAGCTCCCTCCAGCCCCTGCTGCAGCCGGCTTTGGTGGCATTGCCTCATCCGCTGATCCTGCAGCAGGCACCGATTGCTGGTGCCCTCTGCCCCCAAAAGGGGCTGCTGATGTGCTCACAGCTCCCAGTTTATCCAACCCAGCAGCCCCCACCCACCCGCTGTACACAGCAGAGGTTTYCAGTTCTCTTCTTAGGGAATGTGTTTGTCGGTCCTGCAAGCTGCCCCTCTGAGGGAGGTGGTTCTGCTGATCACAGAAACACTTCTGAGGCTCAGAGCTCCTTCATGCCCCATCCTGCCAGCCCTTGGATGTGCATGTAAAAGAAGAGCAATGAGACACAGGGGATCCCCAAAGTCTCACAGAAATGTGGTGCCTTGGTGCAGATCAGCCCCTCCTTTTTCCCCGTGAGCAGATTTAGTGTTGCCATACAAACTGACCTGCAGGTCTAACCCCTGGGGAGCTGCCAGCTGATCACACATCAGTTTGTCCCCAAATCCCACATCCCCTCCTTTCCACTGCCTCCTACCTGGCCGATAGCGTGTGTGTACCTGGGGAGAGACATAATTCCTGGTACCACTGATAAGGCTCTCGCAAATACTGGGGAAGAAAGAAATGGAAATAGCACATTTTCCTTCTCCCCTCTCAGTTTCTTCATGGCTGAAAGGCCAGTATTCTGTTTTCTGTCATCAGGTAGGTTGTGGCTTCCTGGTAGTCCCATGGGAACCAGAATTTCCAGGAGAARCATCAACCCCAGCACTGCTGAGGACCCAGCTGGTGCTGGTTCTGTCCCCACAAGGTCTGCAGCTTCAGCTCTGTGGTGGAGGCTGCAGCGTGCCTGTCTGTGGCTTTGCACATCTCTTTCCTCCTCTGCAAAACAGCRTGGTGCAAAGCACTGGAGTGCAAATCTGGAGGGTTTATTACAGCAGGATGGTGGGGAAAGGCATCCTTCAGCTAAAATCTGTGCTGTATGGGTCACCCCCTGCCCTTCAGCCTGCCCCCAGCACTGCTGCTCACACACTGTTGCCACAGACAGATTTCCTGAGGTGCCAGCCAGATGCCTTAAGACTGAGGGAGGGCCAMACCAAAATAAACCTGATGTAACAGGGTGCTTTAATTTGCAGGAGGAGCTGAGCAGCAGCAGGCTGGCTCCCAGATGAATATTTCTTGCTGTGTCAAGCATAAATTCATCAGGTATTCCATTTCCGGGGAGGAAAACAAAGCAAAATAATTCACTTGGAAATAAAGAGTGGAGCAATTTTTCCCTCTGACATGGTGAATGCAATTACCTAAGGCATGGGAGGCTGAGATAACTCACTTATTCAGCCCCCACTCTCCAAAGAAACCATCATCATTCTGTCAGAAAAGGCTTTAAACCCCAATTCACATCCTGAATGCTAAAACATCACCACATRCAGAAGCTGTCCTTATGATTTCCATGCACCAGCTGCTGCATCACAAGCAAAACACACTCCCAGACAGCCCAGAATTTATTATTATCAAGGCCATACACACAGTKCAAGCTCCCTTGTTTGCTGACCCTTTTCCTGGCGCTGTTGGGTGTCTCCTTGTCCTTCAGGAGCAATTCCTAGTGAAGCAAAGCACACTGGCATCCTGTTAGCAGTGTGTGAGCCACACTGGGGCTGGGAAAATGTGGATGGGGGATGAGAATGTCAAGCTGTGTCTSTTTGGAGAGCTCAGCGAAGAGAAGCCATAAGCCTGTGATTGCCCCCAAATTTAATTCCATTTAGGCAGCACTCTCCCACCTCTTCTGCCATTACATAATGGGGAGTGGAGTAATGACTTTCAGCAATGCTGTTTGGGTGGCAGCAGTCCAATTCTGGACTGTATTTTTTTTTTAATGGTGGGGGGAGAGCAGGTTGGCAGAGGGGAGAAARCATCCGTTTGGTTTGTCTGCAATCCCTGTTTTGCTTTGGGAGCTTTAGAGGACAGGCACATTCTTCCATCTCCGCTAATCCTCCTCTGATACAGAGGATTTTCCTGCCATTAAATGATAGCTTGTGAGAAAAAAATGCCAACTTTTCAGAGACTGACTCGTATGGCTAAGGGCAGCCTGATGAGCAGCAGGGAGGACACAGCCAYTGTCTGGCCAGGTAAGCGACTCATCCAGATGATTTCTGTTGGGAATTTTGGTTTCCACTATTTGATGTTAAGCTGGTTACACTCCTCTGTACTAGCACCTGTTTCCTGGGGTGACAGCCAATCTCTTACTGCTGGTGATCCTTTCCCACCTCAGATGACAGGAACCTGCCCTCAGCACGGCTGGGGGGAAGGATGCGGATGAGCTCCTGAAAAGCAGTGGCACAAAGCTGCAGGATTYCCTGAGAAGGTCAGTGGTGGAAGAAAGATACTCACCAGAAAGGTGCTGGGGACTTCTTCAGTTTGAAAGTGCGAGAGAAGAGCGTTTTCCTTCATCTTCCTTTCTAAACTTAGATCTTTTTATGGAAAAATGATGCAGGGAAATGAYAGAGGATGAAACCTGTCCCTGTTCTTCCTGTGTGCTTTTAGATCCCTCAAGTTTGCTTGCCAGACCTGAAATGCCACTAGAGAATAATCAAGGTAATGTTTGCCATCATTCTAAATGGTGAGTATACTCTTATTCTGCATTATCCAGTAGTGGATTAGACAGATCGTTTGGAAAGGTGGTGGTTAAATATTCAAATATTGCAATCATTGTCTCTTTACCCTTCTAAAAACACTGCAACCTTTCCCCCCCACCCCCCCGCCCGGTCTTTGGTCTCTCACTCTTTCTTCCAAATACTGAATTACTGTAGTATTTAAAAGAGAAAAATATCTCATCCCTGTGAGAATTTTTTTAAAAAATTTCTTAATGTCACAAATATTTTTGACCTTCCTGCTGTATTTCACCCCTTTTCTCAAACACACCTCTCATCTGAGCACCCWCTGTGTCAATGAGCCGCAGAGGGCTTCCAGCTGCTGCCCTGTCTGGGAACACAGCATTAAAATCAAATAACATTCTTTTTTAGGGAAGGGGAAGGAGTAAGGTGGGAAAGATGGGAATGTTTCAGGCTACATTGATCAGACAACATCTGGCCAAGAGGGGAGAGTTGATCTCTTTTGCCCTGAGCTACAGCTCTCCCAAGGGTTTGGTGGGGTTCAGGTGGAAGATTTCTTTCCAACTTCTTTTGCAGAAGAAAGAGGAGAAATTGCCACAAAGGCTGCATTGCTGAGGGGCTTCTCTGAGCTTCTCTTACTGGGGGGATATTTTCTCACTGCATGGTTCTCATGCACTTGCTTTCCATGTCCTGCCCAGTGCAAAGATACATTTGTAAACAGAGATCTTAGAGGTCTGCTATGAAATGCCACTCTCAGGAGACCCAGATTGAACACTCGTGTAAAAGAAAAMCAGGCTGGATATGGCTTGGCTGCAGACATTGCCTTTATTGAGTGATTAGAGAAGAAGCAGGGAGGGGAAGGAGGGGATTTGGTTATCAGCAAGCTCATTCCTGCAGTGCCCACTGAGTGCACAGCAGTGGGTGGAGGTCTGCTCTGAATTCAGGCCAGGGATGTGACTGAGCTTGGGGCAGCTGGAGTTAACACTGAGCTTGTTCAGGACAGCCTCACCTGTGGGAYAGCCTGTGCACAAATGCCCCTCTGGATGTCACCCCGAACCCATACGAGGCTCCTGTACCAGCAGCAACACTCGCATCCATCRTTTTCCAGACAACCACCTGCAGTCAGGCATTTGGGAACAGGCAAATCCTTAATCTGTCTGGCCCTCAGTTTATGTAACTGCCTCACAAAAACAACATATGCCCCTGTTGGCACACAGAGGGTGCAGTGGTGCAGAGGGTAGCAAACGAGGCAGCCCCTGGGCAGGCTGCACAAAGAAAGAGCAATCTGAGGCCAGCATATTGTTCCCCTTCTTGTCCTTAGACTCCAGCTGTTGTCAGGGCCTTGACTGCMGGGGAATTTCCTTCAGCTGTGTCTGTTAGATAAGGGCATGGGAAAAGGAGAAGAGCAGACAAACAAAATGACAACCTGTCTAAAATCCTTTCCCCTCCCAGCGTCCTTCACTATCATTTATCCTTGAAGTGAGGCTGTTTTGCTAATTCTCCAGTCACAATAGTGTRCCCAGGCATGATGGGACCTGAATTTTGATGAAGAGGCCACAGCTCATCCCTTTRTGATGCTCTCTCTGTGTATCCAAACTATCCAAAAACCAGGATGGTTTGAACAGACCCAGGCTGGGCAGCTCCTGGCTTGATGCCCTTCAGAGGGGACTTGCCCAGCAACTGGTTTTGTGCATCTCCTTTACACAGGCAGTGTAAACCCTTAAATACTATCCCATGCACATCGTCTTTAGAAAGGATGGAGGAAAGGCAGAGCAATTGSAGCTCAAACTGTCATTTGTCCAGTACATTAAAGCCTTAAAGACTGCAAAAATAAAAGCTTGATGCTTGCTGAAGCTGATGCTTCCTGGCATATCACCTCACAAGTCKGTCGTATTAAAAATGCCCATGGGAATACAGCTGCAGCAGGCAAACACTTTGCTGCAAACCACAGGGAGAGGCAGCAGGGAAATCCCTCCCCCAGATACTCAGCAGGAGTGTGGAGGAAACTCCCCTGATTCCAGCAGTGCTGTAATAGAGGTGGCTGTTGGTAAAGCTGTTGGTATCTTGTGTTTTGCTGAGAAAAAAGAAAAAAGAGATTATAYTAGCCAATAAACTGCAGCAGAAAACCTGTCAGCAGCAATGGCACCATTTCCTCCTAGTGAATACGTAAAGATCGCTGATGAGGCTTCTCTTTTYGTTGAGAAGAAGGTAGGATGTGTCTGGGACAGCAATAAAAAACCCACTTAGTTCTTCCTCTTTAATGAGTTCATTTTCATGGAATCAGAGAAAGGGTTTTGCTGGAAGAGACCTAAAAGACCACCTCATTCCAAGCCCCCTGCCATGGGCAGGGACACCTTCCACCAGACCAGGTTGGTCAGAGCTTCATCCAGCCTGGCCTTGAACACTGCCAGGGTTGGGGTGCCATGACTTCTCTGGGTACCCTGTGCCAGGGTCTCACCACCCTCACAATAAATAATTTCTTCCATATATTCCTAAATTTCCTCTCTTTCAGAGGGGAAAGCCATTTTTCATTAAAAAAAAAAAAAATTGCAGATGTTTTCTAACATCGTTCACGAGAGCTCTTTGGTCAGCACTGGTGTACAGGTGGCAATTAGCCTGGCTAGAGAGGAAGCAAAGACAGTGTAATTTCTTCTTCTTGCTGTGACTTATTAATTTGCTAATGATGCACCCTTTTCTCTCCTGTCTCTGTGGGGATGGCAGTGCTACTTTGGGTCCCGCAGGTCCATGGGGTGTGGGCCTGTGTGCGCTCCTGCCCTCCCAGCTGCGTGTGCACCCCGGAGCGGAGCTGCTCCGTGCTCTGTGACCGCGCCGGCCTGGGGCAGATCCCCAGCGAGTTCCCCTGCGAAGCCTCCTCCATCAACCTGGACAAAAACAGCATCAAGTTCCTGTCYGAGAGGGCCTTCGGGACGCTGCCTTCCCTCAGGTCCCTGTCTCTCAACCACAACAACATCTCCTTCATCACGCCGGGGGCGTTCAAGGGGCTGCCCAGCCTGACRGAGCTGAGGATGGCCCACAACGAGTACATCCGCTATCTCCACACGCGGACCTTCACCGCGCTCCGGCGCCTCGTGAGGCTGGACCTGGCCGACTGCAACCTCTTCAACATCCCAGACAGGATCTTCATCGAGCTGCCTGCTCTGCAGGAGCTATTCTGCTTCCAGAACAACTTCAGGAGGATCCCAGGCGCCATCAGGGGCATGGAGAACTTGACCCACGTGTAYCTGGAGAGGAACAGGATCGAAGCGGTGGCCTATAACTCCCTGCAGGGCCTGACCAAGCTGAAATACCTGAACCTGCAGGATAACAAGATAAACGTCATCCATGAGCGAGCTTTTCAGGGCTGYCAGAGGATGGAGTACCTGTACCTGAATGACAATTTGATCAGCGAGCTTCCAGAAAACTCCTTTGATGGCTTGAGGCGCCTGAAGATGCTCAACCTGGGGGGGAATTWTCTCAGGAACATTTCCAACACCTGGTTCAGGGACTTGGGGGAGCTGGAGATCCTTTACCTGGACCGCAACAGGATCAGCTACATCGAGGAAGGGGCTTTCGAGAACCTCACCAGCCTGGTGGCGCTGCACCTGAACAGCAACAACCTGACGACGCTGCCCTTCTCCGTGTTCGAGCCCGTGTACTTCCTGGGGCGGCTGTACCTCTTCCGCAACCCCTGGGAGTGCGACTGCCGCATCGAGTGGCTCAAGGAGTGGATGGAGAACTACAGGCTCGTCAGGGACATTCCGTGTGCCTCCCCCTCCTCAGTGGCTGGCATTGACCTGACGGATGTGCTCTACGAGAGGTCTCCYGAAGGTTACTGCCTCGACCCCGTGGAGCTGAACATCACGTCCGAGGGGCCCACCCCGAGCCAGGAGCCTTGGTCAACCACAGAGAGCAAGTTCAACAGCCTTATCTCCAAACTCTTGCTCCAGATGGGCCTTCCCGAAGAGGTGGCAAACGCCACTGAGGTGTACAGCAACACCACGCAGCTGGATGGACAGACTGAAGGGGTTTCTTCAGGCATGGGGAAAGACAGAACCGAGGCCGGCTCCTCTTCTTTGTATCTCCCAGCACTTTTTATAGTGATTGTTCTGCTGTGCAAATAGTCCAAGGGCTATGTGGAGCAGGGGCTCTGCCTAAGCATTTAGTCCCTGCACATACTAAGTCATTAGAGAAAAGTTTTTATTACGGGCCTCTGATACAGAATGGGCTCCAAACCCTTCCAGGTTGTGTTTGTTGGATCTGGCTCCAGATTCTCCTGGGAGCTGGTGGGATCTGGGTCCCACCCTGGGTGATAAACCTGCCCTGTGGGTGTCTCAGAGCCTCCTGGATACTCACAGGAAGATGAGTAGCACTAGGGTTGAAATTTGCCTAGAGATGTGTGTTCCCTGCTGGAAACTGTACGAAGAGGGATCTGTCTCTGTGGTGTTTATTCCATTGGCCAGCTCCAGGTGACTTGACTTCATGAGAGCAAGAGAGGCAGCAAAACCAGACCCTCTTCGTGTCCTGACAGACACTTTGTCCTGACAAACACCATGGCAGGTGCTGCTGAACAGTGGGAAACTCTTCCTGATTTCCCCCAGCGGTACAGGAGGGAGCAGTCCTGGGCAGCATCCAGGGATGCAGCACTGGGCCTCATGAAAAAGGGGAAAACATCWGGGGAGGGCACCTGCCCCAGGCAGGTCTGGGCACAGCCACAGACAGGATTTTGATCCTTTCTCCCACCCGTTATCCTGGCACCGGTGCAGGAGAACCAGATGGACCCRTGTTTGTCAGAACATTCTTCTCTGAGGCAAAGCTACTTAAACTGAAAAAACTACTTATTCACATAAGTTCAATGTGTTTAATTTTTCAATTAATATACTGTTTCAATGAATACATTGTTTTTATTTTTAGAATATTTCCTGGCCTGACAGCAAGGGCAGAGYATGGTGATGACAAATGCAACCAGGCCCTATGAAATGTTTTGTATTTTCACCACAAATGTGTACCATGTAGTGTGTCATACTTTGCCATACAGATAATTTTCTTTTATATGGCATCTTAAGTGTTTTACTTTTGAAATCTTCAATGAAAGCTGCTAATATGACCAGGAAGAATGATGTTTTATGTGTCAAAGCATATTAATAAAATAATTTGATATTTTACTCACAAAAATAAATTAATTGCTCAAACCTTGGGGKTTTTTTTGAGATCCTTGAATAAGTCTGATGATTTTTTTGGTAAGCGACTCAAATGGGTGCACAAGTGTCCTTTCATGGCCTAGAGTAAATGGAAAGCTATTTATTGCAGCATAAATRCCTTCAYTTAGAACCTGACTGTGCTTAGTTTGTGTTAAGCAGCAACACTTCAAAATATAAGTGACTCTATAGAAATACASTTCTGTCCAAAAAGATCTACTGCTTTCTCATTAGAACCAGAGATTTCCAGAGAAAAGCTGAGTACAGGCAAAGCCAAGCCTTCCCTGCTGCAATGGCTCCTCAGTTATCTGTAGCTCGACCACAGTTTCCCCAGGGAATCAAAATGCCAGATGGTTTGATAAATGCCTATTTGACCTGTTCCATGAACTAAATTCAATGAGTTGGGATTTCCAGACTATTTATGAATCCATTAATCTTCTTAAGTGCTAAATTCATCTGTGTATTATAAGAGGCTGTTTTCAAACCTAGGCCAGCCCAGTGCTGTAGAGGCGTATTAGGTTGAGGATGCCTTTRCAGAAGCACTATTTCATCCTGTCAGGGGAGGTTTATCAATAGGCCTGGCACAGATGGTAGGACACAAATGGTTGTATTTCACTTCCTATAAGCACGGATGCCTCATGAGTGAATTGTTTTTATAACCCACGTGTTCATTTTCTGCCGGAACACATTAAAGCTGAAGATCGCCTTACTGTGCCATTGTTGAGTGGCTTTCGAGTCAATTACTGCTTCAAAGATGCTCCTGCTTTATCTGCAAGATGCAGATCTGAATGTGGAGCTTCTTAAAATACTGGTTTTAGCAGAGATTTAGTGCTGTCAGGTGACAGACTAAAGGGATGTACATTGTACAGTGTGACAGCAGGGCAGTGACCGTGGGCATCAATGGTTTAAGTGTCTCGTGTAGTCAAAAACCTGCCTGCCCCAGGAATCTTTCCCTGAGCTGCTCCAACACAGTCCTGGCTGCCTGGAAAGGGCAGGGCTGGCATCCTGTGGTGGGGTAATGGGCCTTCAGCTTCCCTGCAGGAACAGGGACAGCCTCCATGCTGCTTCGAAATCCTGCTCTTCCCTCTGAGCTGAGAGCTCAGCAATGTGTGTTTGTGTGTTTCCAGTGGCACAGAGCAGCTGGCACATGGGCACTCGGAGTCGATGGGGAGAAGTCTGTGAGCCTGGGGTTGCTCTCGCTTTTCTCCTGTCTCCTCTGTGCTGCTCATTCCTTGAGGAGACACTAGAACTGCCTGCTTCATCCTTTCATGATTCTTGTTTCGAAACTCTTAGCAAACAGCTTGTTTCACTGATTACATGAACAGGTGACAACTCATAATCACAATTTTTTTTAACAAATAATTTGAGGTTTTCATTTTCTTAGATCAGACTCTTGCTGCAAAAACTGTGCTTCAGTAAACCCAAACCAGTTGTTGGTTACTAATGCATGGCTCAGTGTCTCTTCATAAATCAATGCTGTTTTCAAAATCTGCCTCTGGACTGGGACACCTCCAAAGGTGCCAAACCAGTGTCTTTTTGGAATAACTGCAAATATTTTCCATCAGAGTGATGCTCCCAGCCCTGCCCTCAGCATGAGGTGCTGGGATTTTGTTTGAAGTAGTGGGGAGGAATGGTCATGAGCTGGCTGAGGTTAGGATATACTTTCTGAATAAAGTTTATTCAGAGAGCTGCTGTTCCCAGACTGAAGTACCTGAGGTCCTCGGAGATGGCAATTTGTATTAATGTGTGGYACCTGGTGACACTTCACTGCTCTTCACTGGTGCACCTGGTTTTTATGCTTTACAACAGTTACTGTTAGAACAGAAGAGAGATGTTGTCAATGTAAATAGAGGAAAGAAACCACCTGACTTTGGATGTCATCTCTGTGTCTTGGAATTCTGTCACTGTGTTGAACCCCTAGGATCATATTCAGTGTTTAACATGAACACTAGGACTTTTTTWTTCTTTAAATTTACAGCTACTGTCAGTAACCCCCTGCAAAATGTATCTATTGGCTGTTTTCCTTTTCTTGTGGATTATCATATTTTTCTGTTTTGGAGAGAAACATGAAGTCCAGGACATGAGGAATCACTGTCTTTTGCTAGAGTGGKAGCAGCTGCTGTCTGAGACTGACAGCTGCTGACCAGCTGAGACTGAGGAACTTCATGGCCAGTTTTCAAGGGTGYTGTTACATATTTTAGCTAATTGTTGTCTTCACAATATCTGGCTGACAGCTCTTAATAAATTTTAATTTGTTGAGTTTTCCCCTGATAATTTTTGTGCTCACAAATTCAAAAAGAACCAAATCAACTGAGTTAAAATTTCTTATTCCASAAAACTGGTGTTCCTCCTTTGAAAGATATGAAGTCTTACAAGAAAATAGCCTGCAATGGTCACTCCTGCTCCAATGTGAGTTTCAGAAAACAGGGCTAGTTTGGGTGAGAAAAAAAGTGCTTGTAATGCCTGCTTTTGTAGAGTGAAAGTATGGGATTGTTGCAGAAACACTAATAATACTGGTCCTTCCTTTTCCCCCACTCAAATCTGATAGAAATCAGTGGAGTTTGAAGGATTTGCTGCACTAGCCTTCAAAGTTGTTTAAAAATAATATTACAGAAAATGTTAACCATGGAATAATGGTAATTATTCCAGAAATTGTAATTAAAAAAAAAGAAAAAAGGTATAATGAGTATTACTTCAAAGAAAACCATATAGCTAATATTTAAAACATAAACCTAAATATGTGCAAGATCAGCACCAAAGTTCCATTTCTCACGGGGGCAAGGCTGGTATTTCAAACTATAATGTAAAAATGAATACAGAAAACTGATCCTTCCGGACAGAGAATTATCTCTGCCTCTTACCCGAAGCCTGATTTTGTTGACCCTGTGGTTAGCTGAACCAGCCTGATCTTGCACTCTGTGGTTATTTTTAGCCYCAAATGGCAGAAGTTAATTTCTTCTGCAGTTCTTCTCAACTTTGACCTTCACCACATCCTTTGATCTTTGTTKTACTTCTATCTTCATCTCTCTGTCCTTTAAAGGACTGTTTTAGAGTTAACTCTGAATTTGCATATCATGAATCTTATATTCTCTATGAAAAATCCCAAAGCATTTTAAAAAGGCCTAAAACTACCATTAGCTTTTCTGTACACACCTGATGGTTTCCTCTTCATGCCTGTTCCATGTCTTTGCTGTTTGGATTAACAGCTGATTTCACTTTGTGCCTGTTCAGCACCTCACACGAGGGTTTTGACCTGGGACAGCAGATTCTTGGTGTGGCTGTAGGTTTGCAATGAGGCTTAAGGTGCCCTTGGTCTGCCTCCCCATGTTTTCCACACYTTCCTTTCCACTCCTCCTCTCCTGCACCTGCTTCTTTCTGCTCCAGGCCAAAACTTGCCATGCCCTCACTGTGCTGCTCCAGCAGCGCCAGCTGTGATTGAAACTGCAATAGCCCAGTTAAAACCAACACTCAACCCTTCCCTCTTTTTTTGATGTTTGGGATCCCTATTATTTGCACCAAAATTTTATAAGCCAGATTGGGCCATAAGTGGTTTAAACTGGGGATAATAATAATAACAATAACAATAATAACAATAATAACAATAATAACAATAATAACAATAATAATAATAATAATAATAATAATAATAATAATAATGTTGCTCTATCTAAAGGGGAACAAGCTAAATGGGGAAGGTGGTGCTCTGTTTCTGCTCAGTTTGCTTAGAATGAGGGCCTTACAGGCACAAGGATGTTGGGATGGGGTCTGGGGAGTTCTGGGCTTTTTGAGGGCAGATCAGGGGACAAGCAAGGAAACACTGAGTCCCCGGTGGGATGAAGATGTGCTGGACTCACCACAAACTGTGCCATACAGGCAGGTGTAAAAATCCATGTAGGTCAGTGGGATTTTACTGCTGGGCTTTTGATGATGAGAACAAGGCTGAGCGTGCAGTGCCAGGGTGGGCAAAAGTGACAGATCAGTAATGAAGGACAACCAGCTGTGCACACGAAAATTGGGATGGAATTGGCAGCAGCAATTCCTCACAGTGCTGAATGGTTTTGTCTCAATGTGCTGTGACAATAAGAAATGCATCAGATACTAAGTGGCCAGGCACTTTCTTGATGTATGAGACTGCTAAAGAGCCAGAGGGCAAGGTACAGAAATAAATGATAAACTTGCAATCAGACAAACCTGGTTGTAAATATCTGTGCTGAAACCAGCAATTGATWATTTCAGTAGGCAAAAAGTAGCAGCAAATTTGCAGATGCAGAATTTTTTAGGCTAGCAAAGCTTAAAGGAGGTGGTGATGAATTCCAAATTACTTGAAAGGCAGGTAATTTGGAGCAATAGGATCGATAAAATAKATGCTGGCATATAGAAGGTAATACGTATTGGAAGACACAGCCTGAGCTGTTCACAGGGACAGATGAGYATTTTAGGGAAAAGAAGACCTGAGAATTGCTATGAAGAGCTGGAATCTTTTCTGGGTAACCTGTTCCAGGACTTTACCCTTCCCACAGTAAAGATTTCTTCCTTATACCTAGTCTAAATATTAGCTAACTTGTGAATTTTGAAGACAGATCTTTTTTACCCATTACAGAGCTGTATGCATTTTTTTTCTAACAATAAATGAAAGAAAAGTTTTGAAAGTTTTCATAATAAACAGAAAACAAACTTCTGGGATTTATCTTCTTTCACCTAAGGATAACTTCATAAATCTTTACTGATTTATTATTCAATAATCTTTACTGGGTTGCGGTTTTGAYACAGATTTGTTGCTTTTGCTACATCCATCCTAGTAAACAAAAATGGCTGTAAGGCAGAGTAAGGAGATGTTTAGACATCGAAACTGTTGAATTTAATGAAAAATGACTGAGTTTAAAAAACTTTATTTCTGCATCAGCCTGGGGTGGATTCTTCGGCATTCAGTAGTGTGTGCTRTAACATTGCTATAACCTGTAATATTTACTGCTTATTAATGAAATATTCCACAC